GGATCTCCCATGTGGAGACAAATCACTCTTGTTTGGCCTGAAGTCCTGCAGGGCATCAAATGGGTTGTCGGTAATGGAAAATCCAGTTTATTTTGGAAGGACAATTGGCTTGACCTTGATATGCCACTTCACCTTTTGGTTTCAACTCCAATCAACGGTTCTCAACTTGACAGAACATTGGAGGGTTCTCAACTTGACAGAACATTGGAGGATTATGTGACCCCTTCAGGGGACTGGAAGTGGGGAGATATTACACCGTACTTCTCTACAGCTATTTTGAAAAAATCACAGCCATACCACCACCATCTTCGAGTCTAGGATGCTATATCCCGGCATGGAGATGGACACACAATGGGAAATTTACTACTTCATCAGCCTATAACCGCATGAATGTCTCTAGGTGGCATCCAGAACACAAAATTTGGGACTTAATCTGGAAGTGGCAAGGTCCAAAAAGAATAAAAACTTTCTTCTAGATGTTATTCAGAGAGTCCTTCTCACAAATGCTGAACAGAAACGTAGACATTTGACTCATGATGATCATTGCCACTTATGTGGAAATGTAGAAACTCTCTTTCACTTGTTCAGGGATTGCCACAGAAGCCAAGAAATCTGGAAGAACTGCTACATGAATACAGGGAGTGCTTTCTGGTCTGAACCTAATTGGCATAATTGGATTTACTCTAATCTTGACTCTTCTTTCTTGCAGAAGGGCAGTACTTGGGCTCTCTGGTTTGGAACTGTATGCTGGAAAATTTGGAAAGCTCGCAACGACGAAATTTTTGGAAGTTGACGCGAGCGTGAGGGAGATTTCAAGCTCATCCCACGCACTAGCCAGAGAAATATCAAGGTCCAACCTCATTTTTGCTCAAAGATTGGATCAGAAGAAACCCCAAAACACTTCAAGCTGGAAGCCCCCCTCTGATGGTTGGATGAAGCTCAATAGCGACGGCGCATTCAGTTGGTCTTCCAAACATGCCGCGGCAGGGGGTTTACTAAGAAACCACGAAGGAGATTGGATTGTTGGATATGTGGCTAACATTGTTGATTGTTGCAGCCTTGAAGCTGAACTATGGGGAGCTTTCTTTGGCCTGCGAATTGCCTGGGATTTAGGTTTTAGAAAGTTAATTTTGGAGATGGACAGTGTAGAAGCCACCAATCTTCTCAAACAGCAACACCCTCCCCAGAATAGCTCTAGTAATGTTCTTCGGAGAATACTTCATCGACTTGAAAATTATTGGACTGTGGTCTTTTTGCACACCCACAGAAATGCTAATGAAACTGCAGATTCATTAGCCAAACTTGGCTTCTCCTTTCCAACGGGGAAGCATATCTTGACGCTGCCCCCACCCTCTATATTAGAATCACTATATCTAGACAAAGCCTCTGACTTCCCTTCATATATATATATATAAAGGAACTGCATCTCTTTTTGATTCCTTCATTCAATTGTAGTTTATTTAACTGAAAAATGGCGAATCAAGGTGGGAATCTCAAGTCCACGCGATAAATGGGGTGAAGATGTACACCGTTGCCGGCCAACAATGGTCGTTGGCCACCTGGATACCAACAAAAAGCTTAAAACTCTCCGGAAAGATAAAAATTACATGTAGCGACTGGAATTAATATAAGATTTGAGGTTCGAGACTACCACGAGCAGAATTAAGGTAACACCCGATTAATATAAGATTTGAGGTTCGAGACTACCACGAGCAGAATTAAGGTAACACCCGACGGGGACAACGTTATTGCTTTAGGTATTTACCCACTAGAAGTCAAAGTATATGAATTGCGTGAGCTTTTGTTAAAGTTTGAAAGGCATTTAGTCTCAGAAATTGTTAAATTTTTGAGGTACTAAGTGATGATTATTCAAAGATTGCTTTTTGTTTGTTTTTTTTTTTTTGTGCCGATCGTTCTGTACTCTGTTGTTCTTTTGCTTTCATTGTTTTAAAAATCAGATCCGAATTTTCCGTTGAATCCCCGATATACTCAATGCTCAATTAAAATATTCTGCTACCTTTTCCTGTACTCTTTGATCTTTAATACTATGCATTAGGGTTAAAATTTGCTGTCTTTGGTGCATTTCAAATTCTCCGCTTGCTTGTCCAAGCAGTGAGAAGAGCTTAAAGCGGCTACTGCATTTTACAAGCTTGATATTCACTCTTCTTAATTATAGTATGTCACTAATTTTCAATTGCAATTATTCAAAAATTGATGATTGCTTGCATTATTCTTGTATTAATAATTTATTAAAACTTTGGATGATGTGTCCAGTTCTTGACCATTAATTAACTTCGTTGCTCATAGTTACAAATAGAATAACCGGGAAAAAAAATCTCAGAATAAAGATTAGCAGGAATCTATGAATTCTTATATCTTTGTTATTGCAAAAATGGGGAACAAACTTAAAATGAACTCAAGTAAAGGCGAATATATATTGGAAACGGGATAAAAAAAGAAAGCAAAATGCTTGCTTTGGCACAAAGTTTGATCAAGAAATCTTTCGTTCCAAGTCTTTGAGCAAATAGAAATAACTTTTGAGTTTTCTTTTTCTCTTTGTAATTTCCTTTTTTGAAGATTTTATTTTTTGGTATATTACCCATCCGAAAATATTGTATTATCAAAATTTATAAGTTTTGGGTATATAAGGAAAATTATTTTGTATTTTATTTTTTTGGTCTATAACTTTTGGGTTTTTTGGTATTTTATTTTTTTCGGAAAATTTTATAATCAAAAAATATAGTTTAGGTAATTAAAAGCTAACACCATATTCCTAATCTTTTCTTTTTTTTTTTTTTGAAAAGGTAATCTTTTCTTCTTAACAACAACAGATGGACCGTTCATTTGTTGACACAAAATTCCAATTACTTGTCACGTAGACAGTTCCTCTTTTCCAGAACTTGTCAAAGTTAAAAGCTTATTAGTCCCAACAAAGAAATGATTACAATAATTTTGGTCCTCTCCATTTCATATATATACAGTGTACCCAACTTTAGAAGGTAAATGAGATTCTTTGCTTTATCTATAGTCTAATCTTTCCGTTTCATCTTGTAAATTAAAAGTTCTATTTGTTTGTTAAAAATAATATGCATAACACATATCAGAGTTTTATTTTGAACTGGGAAGAGTGAAAATTTAAAATAACCAAATTAATCATATCTGATAAAAAATTCAAAATTAAAAATGTAAGATTTTTCTTTTTTTTTTTTAAAAAAAATTATTTTATCAACAAATTAAAAACGGTTGGCAGTCTTCTTTGACTCTTGAGAGCTCTCATGTTACCATTTGAGTACTGCCAGATTAATCAAATGGAAACCCCAACTAAAGCTTGCTAAACCCATCAACTTCTTCTTTCCAAACAATTTTCTAAATTAAACAACCGCCGTCCTTTCTCTCTATCTTAATACTAGAGATGTCTGGCTGTATATCTGCGATTTTTCATCGATAACAAATTATAATAGTTTGCTGATTCAAAAAAACTTGAACAGTCGTCATTAAAAAGTTGGAAAATTTGGCCACGAAGGGCGAAGTGAAACTTACAGAAGGCACAACAGAATTGGCAAGGCGAATAGCAGCATTACTTAGTGGCAATTGTAGTGCAAATGATAGCGAGAGTGACAGCTCACACAAAAGTTATAAGAATAAATAGAGAATTAGAATGAGTAGAAGCAAACATTTATGGGAACAAAATTATTTTAACGTATGCAAACGGATGGCCTATACAAATAATTAGTATATTATCTTAAATACCTATAGTTGACATTTAAATACCCATAGATGACAACTACAAGTATGACAATGGCAAAAAATAGCAGCACAACAAGAAGAAAGATGAAGATGATTTTATATTTTTTTTTGGGTTTGGGGTTTATATATAGAAGGTAAAAGGAAATATTTTTTGGAGATATGAACTTGACGGATACATTGGTGGAGGTAGAACTTTTATCCAATTAGAATCACATGCTATTAATTTAGGACTACTAGGAATTTTATTTTGACCGTGCAAAGGAGAAATTGCCGAAGAAGCCGTGAAGGTATTTGAAGAGGAGTGTGTTGCCGTAGTTTTGAGTTGGAGGTGGGAGAAATGAAGTTGGCAGCATCTAACATTTGTAGTATTTTACCTATCAAACTTATGTCCGATCAATTAATATATTAATTCAATCCTATATAATGTAATTTAATTTAGTTTATCACACTCTTTATCACCGACCAGTTAGTTGTATTCAACTTAATTTTACACGTATAAATTTTTTAAAAACTCTGATGTCAAAAAAACTATATAGATTTTTTTTAATGATCTGATGTGGAAAAAACTCGTTAAAAAAGGAAAGTAATTTTTTTGTTTACTTTTTCTTTTTGTAATTTTTTTTTGGGGTTTATTATTGGTGTTTGTTGAATTGGGACAGGAAGATGAATAGTTAAGAGAAGGAATTTTCTTTTTTTGTCGTGGGAAACGTGGAGGAATTTTCTGTTGTGGGGGTGATGGTTTTTCCGGTTAGGGTTTTGACGAAGATATGCATATTTTGTTTATTTTAAGAGGATGAGTGAAACGGAAGTTTTGCTTGGAGATTTTTCAATTGATGTGTGAATGGTGTTTTGGAGGGAGGAGGGCTGCTTCATATTTATAGCCAACTCTAGCGGAAATCCCCGGGCGGGTTGTAAAAGGATTAAATTGAATTCTAGAACTTTCAAGAAAACCTTCAGAGCCTTCCCATGGGGCAGTTACCATAAGTGTATGATGACAGAAAGCAAGTATGGGTACGATTTAGTCAATTCCTTTTTCCCTTTAGGCAATATAAATTTAGACGGTAAAATTCTTTAATAATTTTCAATTTCCTTGGTTGCCGATTTCAAGTTGGATTTAGGGAAGTTTCCTGATCACATTCCACTTGGTTTTCAAATTACTTTCAGGATTAGTGTAATTCTGTTCTTCCCTATATAAGTACATGGTGTAGGCGTGGGATTATGCACTTTGCTCTTCTGATTCTTTTCCCTTCCATAGTTAAATCAGCAACGCTCTCTCCAATTTTCCTCCAATTTTCTGCCCTACTAGGATTAATTTCATCAGATAAACAAAGATGTTCGGAATGCCACCGAAGAAGAGCGACAATTCAAAGTACTATGAGACCTTAGGGGTTCCAAAGAATGCATCACAAGAGGACCTCAAGAAAGCTTACCGTAAATCCGCCATTAAGAACCATCCTGATAAGGGCGGAGATCCTGAAAAGTTCAAGGAGATTGCTCAAGCCTACGAGGTACTTAGTGACCCAGAGAAGCGCCAAATCTATGATCAATATGGTGAGGATGCAATAAAAGAAGGAGGCGGCTTTGGCGGCGGTCACGTTGACCCATTCACCATCTTCAGGGACCTCTTCACCGGAGGAGGCAACCCGTTTGGTCAGAGAGAAAGAAAGGGTGAGGATGTTATTCATCCACTCAAGGTCTCTCTGGAGGACCTCTACAAGGGAATCTCTAAGAGGTTGTTGATTTCGCGGAATGTGCTATGCTCTAAATGCAAGGGGAAGGGCTCAAAATCTGGTGCTTCATCAAAATGTCCAGGTTGTCAAGGGTCTGGAATCAAAGTTTCTTTCAGGCAGATAGGTCCCGGTATGGTTCAACAAATACCGCAGCCTTGTATTACTTGTAAAGGAACCGGCGAAACGATTAAGATGAATGACCGGTGCGAAAGCTGCAAAGGGGAGAAGGTTGTGAAGGAAAAGAAGACGTTAGAAGTCGTGGTGGAGAAGGGTATGCAGAACGGGCAGAAGATCACATTTTCCGGCCAAGCCGATGAAGCTCCCGACATGGTTACAGGGGACATAGTTTTCGTCCTACAACAGAAAGAGCACCCTAAGTTTAAACGAAAACACGACGACCTCTTCTACGAGCACAAATTGTCACTAACCGAAGCCCTTTGCGGCTTCCAATTTGTGCTGACTCATTTAGATGGCAGGAAGCTTCTAGTCAAATCCCAAACCGGAGAAGTAATCAAGCCTGATCAATTCAAGGCTATAAACGATGAAGGAATGGTGATTTACCAATGGCCATTCATGAAGGGGAAACTGTATATCCACTTTACTGTCGAATTCCCGGATAAACTGGTTTCAGATCAGTGCAAGGCTCTTGAAAGCATTTTGCCTAACAGGAGTAAAGTTTCCGACATAGAATCCGAGGAATGTGAGGAGACTACACTTCATGATGTCAACATTGAGGAAGAGATGCGTAAGAAGGACCAACAGGCAGCTCAAGAGGCGTATGAAGAAGATGACCATATGCGTGGTGGTGCTCCGGTCCAATGTGCTCAGCAGTAAGTTGCGCGGAATGAAGTGTAACTGATGCAACTATCGATGTGGATTATTGTTTGGACAGAGAGAGTAATTTCTTTTTTTTTTAATAAGTTAATCTGTACTTTATTCGTCCCAAAAGTTATAAGTATTTATTGTACTTTATTATATATTCAATAAAAACAACATTTTTTTGGGATTAAGTTTTTCATCATACTGTACAACTTAACATGAACACAAAAGCTGAAAACCAAAGCAACTAAAAAAGTATCGCTCCTGCTGCTAGGTAGCATTTGTTTTGAAAAGTATAAATATAAATATAAATATACACCAAAAAATAAAGAAAAACTCTAAAACTGAACTCCTATTCTACTTCCAAAGCCAGATGTATTTCTAAATCCGTCACCACAAAAACTTTATCTAGTTATAATTCGCCGCGTAACATGTAAATCAAACGTATAGAACCATCTACGACATGAAAACTTAAAGAAGCGAAATGCAGCTAACAAGAAAATTATTGCGGAATCAAACAGCTTAACAAGATAATATTCTTTTCGTAATATGATGTAGAGGAGTGAATTAATCTTAGGAGAGACCTAGTTCATAGAAATATAGAACAGTTAAGCTCAATCACCATTTTTTCTACTTCCCCTTTGGAATGATCATATGCATACAGCTGATGTTACTCTCCAACATCACCAGAAAATGAATCAAAATCACCCATCCACACTTTTCCATCCGGGAGTATTCCGATGACAGTCAGGTTGTCACCACCCATTGGAAACTCAAACTTCATCTCAGTTAATGAAGCCGCGCGCCAACACGGCTGCCATTGAGTTGTCGCCGTCATCATCATGTTCGTGTTTGCCATGGTACGAGGTTATTCGACATTGATGATTTTTTCGAGCATATACAAATACAGGTGGTCGAGAAGACAACAAACCTGAATAACGTCCTTCCAGATAGGTGAAAACGTAAAATCTTTCTTAAGAGAGATCAAATGCTAAGACAAATCGTTTGATATCTTCTCTCCACGCGTCGCAATTCAGAACCCCATTGGAACACTTAATCCTCCAACTCGATATCCCCATTGATGGTGCCATCGCAGTTGTAGAAACACACCGATCCGTTAACCTGATCCGTGCCGTCGGTAAAGAAGGGCCAAATGCATTTGTGAAGTTCTAGACAAAGTTGTTTAGCCTCAATACTCATATGATATAGTACATTAAACCGCGTATTGGTGATTCAAATTCACTACTAAACTTATAAAGAAGAAGCCCTCTAAAAGCCCCACGGCCTTTGTGTAATCCAACCAAAGCCCCACGGCCTTTGGGTAGGAACAATAGGATTTCCCTCACAAGTTCCGGCTGGAGTTGCCGGACGGCTGAGCTGCACATGTCGCTGTAGTGTTTTGGCAGGAATCTCCTCTAGTGGTCAATATAATCAGGGTTTAGTTGTTCCCTTAAAAGCGTTTCAATTTTGCCCTAAACATTGATAATTTTGCTTTAATTGATTGAAATATGCAATTGGGAATTATGTTAATTCTGTACCAAAATAAGAAAAAAAAAAAAGAAGAAGAAGAACAAAAATTATGTTCTTTTTCTTAATAGGAAAAATTGAATAGGAAAAATTATATGCTCTTTGTCCTTAAATTAGTGTCCAGTTTAGATTTTTGTTTTCAGCTCACTTTATGCTCTAAGTAAATCTTAAGTGTGACGATAATTTTGGGACACAAGAAGCATGTTTCAAATATCAAACAATGCTAAAAGATCCACTTATTATCGCATACGAAAGTGTATGTCACATGAAAAGGGTTAGAAAAAATTACGTAGAGGGGACCAGGGTAAAGGGTGACCAAAAGTGAAAAAGGATTTTCCTCTAATTTTCAGACATTGTACGACTCTATAAGCCTTTTATAGAAAATTCTAGTTGGTTCTAAATAATAGTGAAATGTGCAATTATTTAATTATTTGATAATGTTAAAGGTTTAGGAAATTTAATAAAACTTCCAGTCCAAGAAATCTGAATAACAGTTGTAATTACATTTCTCTCCCTCCTAACCAACCTAGGGGTGGCTTCTCATAGGCGTATTCAATTATAAAGAATTTTATTCATAAATTTGTGAGATCTATCCATATTTTTCTTATTCTTGCGAGAATATCTTGCTTTTCAATAAATTAGGGTTTGTTCTTAAGCACAGTTAACCTCTGCCAAGTTTTCATGCATTCTTGGTTAATGGATGCTTTATTTGATATTTTAGTTGAGCACACCAAGTTATTCAACGTTTATCTATAACGTGTGGGGAGTTTCAGGTCGTTTTTACTAGGGTTTCAAATTTAAATACCTTCTCCATCTCTTCTTCCTTTCCATCACATTTTTGGTTTGGATTTTTGTTGGACCTGCTGTTTCTTTCCTGAGTTGTGTGTTATAATAGGATTTTCTTGCGAGGTTAAAATGATTCAAACCTCCCAAAAACTTTTCAAGTCAAACTTCCGCAATAAACGTGTCTCGTATAAAAGATTCATATCAATTTAACTTTTAACTACAGATGATGCACAAATTATGCATGCACATGAATCTTTTCCTCCTTACAAATAATGGGTGTTATAATCTTAATAAAAAGTAAAGGTGGTGACTATAAACTTGCTTCACTTATATTACTTTATCTTGACACTAAAACTAAATATTATATTTATTAGTCTATGTCTGATCTAATTAAATTTGGTCATATTGTTCTTTCATAACCACTCTTAATTGCTGTTCTTTCCCTTACTTTACAATTCAGGTATACATTATCTAATGTGTAATGCCTCTAAATAGTTTGTCCCCTGATTTTCGAATAATTGTTTAGGTCGAATTTACATTGTCAGTAAAAATTATACTTCAATTAAAATCCAAAACAAGATGTTAAATTTTGGGAGAAAATGAGTAATTCTTTCCTAATCTTGATATAGCGTCATGTAGTATATGCTGTACATAATATGGTGTTTTATAATGAAATCCGGAATTTTTGGAAAATATTTTAGGAATAAATAAACTCATGCCAAATTTTGAATAATTTAAAGTAAATAACTTAACAAGCTTTTGAAAGGAATTGCTTTCACAGAACCTCGCCCTACATATATAAGAGATGTATGTGATTGTGTCGAATTTATGATAAATTTGTTTCAAAGAATAGGCACTTGGTGAATGGTGATGGGGAGGAAAAAAACAATAAGGAAAAAGTGAAAACGAAATTGGGCTTATGAGTAAACTAAATTTTGTCCATTTAATTCACACACTCACACTGTATATACACAGGAGATCCGACACTCCCCACACACCACACTGTCTCTCTCAATTAGGAGGTAACCTTTCTCTTTCATCTCTCTCCCAAAACCATTCTTTACAGTTTGGGGCTAAAACTCATTTTCTTGAATGTGTTATTGCTTGGGCAGATCCAAGAATTCATCTCCGTATGTGCCTAATTATAGTAAAAAATCTATAAGTTAATACTCTCATTACGTCTACAGTTAATTATTTATAGATTTAATATGTAATTTATAAATAAATAATTATTAATTTATTAAGAAATTAATAACTTATTAATTTAGGAAAAAGTTGAAAAAAAAACTTTCAATTTCTAAGAACTAGAAGATAAAGTCGAGTTTGGATTATATGAATTTAATTTATAAGTTATCATTTTATATACAAATTTCAAGGAAAAAAAAACAAAATATCTTTATATTCATATTTTGAAAATTTTCCAAATTGTTTTACTCTTATTTTGTTTCGTTACTAATTAATCAGACAAACATCAATAAATTAATATTTTCCAAATTTTATTGATTTATAAATTTATTATTTAATCAATAAATTAATAATGAGTAATATATTGATAGATTAGTAACCTATCAATTTAGAGAAATGTTTTTTAAGAAAACTTATTTTTAAGAAGCAGGAGATAAAGTCGAGTATGGATTATATGGAATAAATTTTTAACTACAGATATAAATTTTAGGGAAAATAAACTATTCTTTATATTCGCATTATAAATCTTGGTAAATTTTTATTTTTATTCTGTGTAATTGATAATAAATTTTACTGAGGGGACCAACATATATATATATATATATCTTACTATATTAGAAACAAAAATCACACTTAAGAGAAAACACCACCATGCCATATGACATTTTTACATCATATTTTTAAAATAAATTTTTATTTCCATATCTCCTAGACTTAAAAGGTAAATACAGTCCAAATCCACCTCCACCTGCTATTTTCGCTCAAAAAAAATCATGGGTTCATAAAAAATCCAAATCTTCATCCCCATCTCTACCACAATGGACTCCCTAATCAATCTCTTCTCCACAATAAAAAAAAAATAAATTACTCATCAATCATCAATTGAGAATATGTGGTGAAATATACTCCATTTTAATTAGCATGTCCAATCTTTTCATTAGTGATGATCAACTAAATCCTAATCGGATAAAATTTTGACTTCAAAAAATATTCTCTTTACCTCTCTATATAAATACAAAGGAAAAAAAAATTCTCATTGATCTTGCTTCAGCCGTTGTGGTGGTGCAATTACAAGTATTAAAATTTAAATGATTATTTCCACAGATAATTTGTTTGACTTTTATTATTTTTTGTTTTTCCCGTTCAAGAATAGTGTTATTACTATTATTTTTATGCGTCCATCCGTTACAGTTACCGTAGCCGTTGTCAGGTAATATGATGTGATTTTTTATATGGTTAGTTAGCCTAGAATTTTTGTATGATTTTAGTTGTTTGGATTGAATTCAGTAATTGGATTTTTGTTAGAAAATGTGATTTTTTAAATTTCTTTTTTATATTTCATTCAGTTAGAGTGATTTTCTTTTTTTAATTATGGAGTCTCGGTTTTTTTTTTCGTATATGGTCAGTTATGAAGTGTGCTTTTTCTTTGTTTAATTGCTTTTGATTTGTTTCATACTCCCAGTTAACCAATTATTATTATTATTATTATTATTATTATTATTATTATTATTATTATT